ACTTTTATCAGTAGGGTCAAAGCACACTCGTTGTTCTAATGATAGCTTATCAACACGCGCGGGGACCATTGGTTTGTTAACTAATTAATAATAGGGTAGTAGTCGTTGTTATAGTGTGATCGGGAGTGCTTCTTTTAACGAGGTAGCTGGCGATTTCCATGTGGCGGACAGCAGAGCCTAACCCCTACAAAAATAATACGCATCCCTTCCAACAGCCTAGCTCCTTCTTGAGACGCATCAATTTTCCAAGTAAGCGTATTCCAGAGGCGATGTAGATTGTAGATGTCTATGGGCTCCAGTAAACACTTAACACCAGGTGGGCTGTAAGCTCGTCCACCCAACTAAGCAATAAAAAAAAACTGTTTCGGAGTTATACTCTTCGATCATTTTTACACATCCCAATTTCCATTATCCGTTTGGTATCCACGAGAGCCTAATTCAAGTCCTCTTCACGAACGAATACTACATTTCCTTCATAATTTGCCGCAGTAAGATAAAAATTGTCATAATTTCACTGAGCCGTCTGTTTTTTTTTTTTGATTCGCGTCACGTAATTCCTGTCCATCCTTGGCCTCACTGATGCAGCTGATACACGACAAGGCCCTGACCTCGCCTCTACGCATCAAGCATCCAAAATCACATTTTATTCTTCAAGCCTAAAACGCAAGGTTAATGTTATAGTTTATTGCATTGTACTTAAAGTGCTTACGGCGTAGTGTGCCCCGACCCGACGGATCTCAGGTTCCAGCCATTAACTATTCTCAAGCCAAAAAGACAGTAAAGTCGTCGTGGCCTAAAGGATAAGAGGTCCGGTGCATTCGTGTTGAGCGATGCACCGGTGTTCGAATCCCAGGCGGATACCAAATTTTCTAATGAAATACGTACTCAACAAATGTTCACGATTGACTTCCACGGTGAAGGAATAACATCGTGTAATAAAAATCGAACCCGCAAAAATTATAATTTGCGTAGTTACTGGTGGTAGGACCTCTTGTGAGTCCGCGCGGGTGGGTACCACCACCCTGCCTATTTCTGCCGTGAAGCAGTAATGCGTTACGGTTTAAAGGGTGGGGCAGCCGTTGTAACTACTTAAAACCATAGAACTTATATCTCAAGGTGGGTGGCGCATTTAAGTTATAGATGTCTATGAGCTCCAGTAACCACTTAACACCGGGTGGGCTGTGAGCTCGTCCACCAATCTAAGCAAAAAAAGTTCTAACTTGAAAAGGAAACAATATTCATTTGCTAAACACAAATATCTGAATTTACCGTCATTTCACATTATAATGAGAATACTGAAATCGTTACCGAAAGGTCAATAACTCTGTTGTCAGCTGATGTGTAAAAAATATATTGATCAGTTTCTTGGGATAGCCGCTGGATCGATGCGGTTTATCTTTAATATTTTATTAATGCAAGCGAATTTAAACCATATCAGAGGCCAGTGCCTGTAAGTCTAACAAGACCATTGACGTCAAGAGTATTGTAACGGTTATTCATTTTATTTTTGCGGTTAACACAAATATTTTTAATTGACTCACTACCCAGAACGTGTTATAGAAATACTATTGTTTTATGATTAATTCTTGGGTTTTTTCATTACTAATTTTTACCGTCATTGGCGTACGTGCCGGTAATGGTCTAACATTGCGTCGAACCCATCGCTTGCGACGAAGGGCTCGACGAGCGAATTAACACATAGACACAGCCCACTGAGTTTTTCGCCGGATCTTCTCAGTGGGTCGCGTTTCCGATCCGGTGGTAGATTCTGCGAAGCACTGCTCTTGCTAGGGTCAGTGTTAGCAGCACTCCGGTTTGAGCTCCGTGAGCTCACCTACACACGTTAGGGTGAAGCTGAAATAGCCTCTAAAGTCTATCAGTATAGGTAGGGAAAAAAAAGGTCTAACATAGTCAAAAAGACTTAATATCAAATAATTATGTTACAATTTATATTTGAATACTTTTGCTGACACTCAAAATAATAATTCGATGAGATCCTACTTTCTGGTCCATTGAAATAAAACAAAATTTTAAATTAAGAATGTTCTTAGAACAAAACTAGAACATTGTAATGTTAAGTTTAGTTACATCAATAAAAATTGTCTTTCTGTACGTATCAATAAAGATGATAATTGATTGTACCGAGTCAGTCAATATTGCATATTTCGAACTTGAACAGATATGATTTATTCCGTGTTAAAGAAACTTGACCATTAAATTATAAAACTTATAGATGATGGTTGTCTGCTTAAAAACAAATGTAAATTTACTTTAGGTATTTTTTTCCAACTGAACACGAGCTTATGTAGGTACTAAGAAATAAAAGCAATGTAACTAGAATAGTTAGTGGTGAAACTATCTAGTTTCATTGCTATACATTCTATATTTGCATAAAGTTGAATATCCCATCGACACATCGATTTCATGTACATATTCATATATCTTTAATTTGTCACCTATGGACTAATAAAGATATTAAAACAGATAAATACAGTCCACTCTCATTTAATACAACGTAACAATCCCCTTTGGAAGAAAATTTTAAAAACACTGAAGAGCGCTCTTAGTTTTAAAAGCAATTCTTGGGTCTTAATTAAAAGTACGATTTTATTAGGTTTTTCACCATGACTAGCAGCCTGAACCTTGAATGTCCTGATAATGAAAGGTCGCAAGTAAGGCCTCCAGCGATGATTGTTCAATATAAAACGCTTCTGCAATGGCCGATCGCGTGCTACGATGTTTTGCATCACCATATTTAATTGTTTTGGGGTTCCGCTGTGCCTAATTATGTAAAATAATTGAAAATTTATTTTAAATTTGAACAGTTCATAAATCTAACGAGAGGTTTTGGTTCTGGATTTTAAATTAGCAGCACGTAATCACCTCTGAGCCGCTGTGAATGTATGTACCCTCTAGGCATGCAGTTTTTAATAATCTTTAAAAAAATGGCCTTAATTTGAGAAACCCTTCCTTTTATGAAGTCGGTTATAAAGCATGCATCTCTCTAAAATTCGATTATTTGAATATTAAATGTGGGAATCATAGTTAATGTGTCCCGGATGTCTATCTCCACGGGACACATTACGAGTAGACACGTAAAAATTCAAAAAAACCTTCATATTTTTGACGAATGTCTACTGACTGAGGAGTATTACAGTACAAAGCCTAATTTGAAAGCAGTTTGACAGCTGCCAATTATGTCCTTGTCACTAAAACGTCAATAAAGTTAAAATGTTCGTATTTAATGAAAGTCATATGAAAATATATTCGGAACCCGTAGTATCGATATGAACTAGGTCTTATCTTGAATCACGGAGATTTGATCACTTAATTACAGACACGAATAGATTAGCACGACCTTAGATATTATCTGAAATTCTTCCGAATGCGAGTAATATTATAGATCTTATTAAGATGACGACTTCCTAGACGTTATGCTCCCAGCCTTGTGCCATCGTTATTTTCCCCTTCTATACGATGAAGGTATAACATCGTACAAATTTTATATCCGCAAAGTGAATTAACTTTAGTAACCAAAGGATCACGAGCTCGTCCACTTGCCCATGCAATAAATAAATAAAGCTTCACATCAAAATCCTTTTAACACAGTGCATTTGTTGTTTGAATCTAATACGCTTATCCACGCTACAATTACTGTAATACTCGTAAGATGTGCCTCTTAAAATTATTCAGACAAGAGGCAAAGCAGTCTGGTGGTAGGACCTCTTTTGAGTCCGCATGGTTAGCTACCACCATTTGCCTATTTCTGCCGTGAAGCAGTAATGCGTTTCGGTTTGAAGGTTGGGGCAAAAGTTGTAACTATACTGAGACCTTAGAACTCATATCTCAAGGTGGGTGGCGGCATTTACGTTGGTCTCAGGTAACCACTTAACACCAGATGGGCTGTGAGCTCGTCCACCTATCTAGCAATAACATCCACACTACAAGCCTAAGCCTTGAAAGATGTGCGTCTTAACATTATTAAGGCAAGAGGCAAAGCAGTCTTCGAGCGGGTCGTACCTACGTCACGCCTTGCTGAAAAACATAACGGCGTAATACCGATCAAAGAGTTACCATCATTAGCTAACGCGAATGTTGCGTAAGAAACGAGCAGTCCTCTTAGCGACGTGCCTGCCACCGCCTGCAGTAATGACGAGGTTATCCTTGACTCCGTATCACAATTATCTGGACACTTTGCATGAGAACTTGACATGCTCTACGGCTTTGTACAGGGCGGTACTTTATAATAATCAAGCTAGCAATGCCATTATCAATGTAGTCATTATCTGTTTTCGGAGGGCAGCCAACGAAAATGATCCCTCCACACGAGGCGTCTACGGGCTTTGGAAAGCTCACGAACTTTTGGCGGGTTTCGTCATCAATCTAAAAATAAGGATTTTGCTGTTGTTTTCACCAAAACTATTATAGAATCAGGTTTTGAACTGCAAAAATGATTCCCTCACGTTCCCTATTGATACTCAAGAGAAGTTTTGAGTGGTTTTTAATACAAGTCTGCATGCATTGCCGTGCTGAACACAGTTTTCCTGCCAGTCGGGCAGAAAGAAACACACTGTACTCACAGATCTATGTAGGAATTCATTTAATTACATTTGATTTGTTGTATGTGAACATTACATATAAATACATTCAACTTGACTTTATTTTTATTGTGCACCACTCGATTTATTGTTTACGATTCGAAATAGCAAAAAATACATATACACACATGGGTTTGTTCAATATTTATTTTCGTACGTTTCCATGAGTTTGGTCGTAGATAAATTACCCTATTGCCCTACATACAATTAACATATTTGATCGTATTTTATTTTCGGTGGGCGATCAAGAAACAAACAATCAAACATGCTTTTCTCGTGTTTTTTTTTATAACCAATACTACCATTGTCAGGTATCACATTACAATTTATAATAACATTGTTACTGGTATGACATCAAGTAATATGCCAATTTTGACAAATTTTTTTCTGTTTCATCCTCAGATTCGTGAAACCGGACGAAGTCGCAAAACTATGGGGCAAGATGAAGCAAAATGACAACATGACCTTCGAGAAGTTCAGCCGAGCGATGCGGTACCACTACCGGCAGTCCGTGCTGGTCTCCGTCCCGACAGCGAGACTGGTCTACCAGTTCGGACCGAAGGGCCCCGACATAAAGACGGACAATCCAAACTTCATCAAAGTCAAATCAGAAAATGAACAAGAAAACTATAACTGCGTTTTGAATTGTTAAAGATGTTTTAGGGAGCTGTTGAGCAACATCGATGTTGTTTATCGATAAAATAAAAGTACAAATTTTATCGAATTTCAAACGCTAGGTATTTAATTAAATATGGTCAGCGCGCATTCGTTGATATTGATTTTTGGTACTCCCGTTTATTCATGCACTAGTTTCGGTTTGAATCCTCGAAAATTGTTAAGCTCCAATTAAGATTTCGACTTATTATCTCAAGACGTGCCGCTGTATTCAAACAGTGGCGTCCGATACAATGCTGCGCACGTAAACGGGGATACTAATGTTAAAGATTCGATGTCACTGATGCGCGTTCGTTTTATCCAAGCTTCATGAGGTGATGCTTGGAGTTTGTCGTTGATAGTTAAACTGATGATCGTCTTAAATTAATTGAATGTGAGTAACACATTATATAGGTTAAATAAAATTGTGCAAATTAGCTCATTTCTACCTATTATTTCGCATTCCTCATTTGACAGAATTGTATCGCTTAGTTTACAGATGTCCGTCCACACGAATGTTTTGTAAAGGTTTAATACATGTATTTTTAAATGAATTTTATAAATGTGACACTCGGTCCGCTCATGATGTACTACTCCACGGAATACAAGTTCCAAAAATATGCTACAATTCTAATTGTAGCATAATATTATTATAGTTTCTGTTCTGCTGATGGGTCGTAAGTCTCGTCTGCTTTACCGTCCTTATAAGTATTTACTAACATTTTAAGTGAATTTTTCCATGACAAAAAAGAGACAAATTTAAAAGTATTTTCGAGGAGTATTCTTATAAAATCGAATAAATTTAAAAGATAATAAAATATTATTATCTTAAATTCCATTGAAAACTTGAGATGCTTTTTGACAGCACAATTTGACATTTATTAGTAAAACGACCCAAACTAAGGGCTATTTTGAATTGTCAGAGTTTGATGATAAATTTATAGAAATGTCCTGATGGTTTTTAAATTGCTTAGAATGTAGAAATGAGCACATAGATAGGTGTTTTTCTCTGAAACGTTATTGGAATCGGTGGTCAACGAATCGTGACGTGGCATATTTATGATATTATTATTGTTGATAATAAATAAGTCTAGTATACAAGTATACTGCCATAAACTATCTGCCTTCCGTACAACTGTTCTTGTCAATTCTTTAGTCGTCTCAATGAGATCATTTGAAACATTTTGTATACCTCTCTATTGCGTATAATCGATAAGTAAATTATACAACGTACATATTACGCAAAAACAAAAACCAAACTTGAGTTATTATTAAATTACGTTAACACGAACAAAATAATATTAGGAGTAGGAGGAATAATCCTTTCGGACTTACATGTACATAATATTTTACAAAACTCTATTAAGTATGCGTATTATATTATAATCTAAAAAGGACTAAGACGAGTCGAATCTGACGTCAGCGAAATTTGTATGTAAATGTACTAAAATACACACCGCTCAATTGGATATTCACAAATAGAGACCACGTAACCGCTGTCTCTATAAAAACGTAAACTTTTTATAATTTAAAATAAATATAATTTAAAATATGTCAGGATTCACATATTTTTATAATGAAACAAATACTTAACTGTGAGTTTTTGCTAATTTATCACACCGAAAATGTATAAACATGTACTTATATTAGTTAAGTCCAAATACGTAAAGCTTGTGTCAAATCTTTGACGTTTGTTCTGTCAAATGTGCCACGTTCGGTCGTCTGTAGTGTAATATTAATATAAGCTCACTGTTTGATCTTATAGAGGAAACAAAGGTTGTAAAATGTGCGTGTTATATTGTTGGTGAAACATACGGTACGTCTGGCTTGACCTGTCAATTATGAAAGCTGTCAAAGGTGACATGTCCATAGAGATTGTTTTTTTTTTCTAATATATTTATCGACGTTAGCGTCAATACAAGGTTGTTCAAGAGAAACGAATTTTCTGACTTAGTAACGTAATTAATTATAGTACATAATTAAATTTAACATTAAACTAAAAATATCTTTTTTAATTCTTGTTGTTACCGTAAATAGTTTAGTCTGTGGTAGTTCGAAAACATTCCAATTTTTTTTCTTATTTATGATTTATTATTAGGATCACACATAGGTTAAGTTTTTTAAAAGCGGTTGCCATAAACTCGTATTATGATTAAATGTACTTAAATAGTTCATATTTAGGTTAATTAAATGAACATTAAAGGAACATCACATTATTTTCGTCAATCTCAGTGATAGGATGAATATATTATTATTATGTTTTAGTTTGTTAGTTTAAATAAGTGATGTTGGCGCTTTACGTGCAATAAAAAAGATCTGTTGGCCAAAGAGTAGTTTCGGAAAACTAAAAAAAACTTGTATATTTTAAGAGAAAAAAGTTGTCATTTTTTTAATCGCTCGAAATCCAAGCGGTTGCTGTGATGTAAGATATAGGTACTTAATGAATTATTTTGAAAAAAAAAAACATATTTTTTGTTAGTGAAAACAATAAAGATAAACATTTTTTTCATTAAAGATATTTATGTAAATAGTTTAGTTTTCATATTATTATAATATTGATAAATAATTTCGTGACGAAAAATAAAAAATATTGTTATGTAATTGTTTTTTTTATATTCTTAGCTTTTTAATCCTTTAATTATATCAGAAAGTATTATATCGAATTACAACCTAATACTTCTTAAAAAAAGATGGAAAACCTAAAAAAAATATTGAAATGATGTACAGCCTGTTGGGCATTCTGGATTTCCTTTGATATGATTTTGTTGCCTGAGTATATCAAAGGAAGTGTGAAAGTAGCCCCGATAAATAGCAAATTAAAGAGCGGACGGTTAGCGTGATATCGACATGTGATACGTAGAGAGAAGATGTATGAGACTAGGAGATGTATGGAAATGGTAGTGCAAGGTAGAGGGGGAAGAGGTCGACTGAAGAAGACATGGATAGAGTATGTGAATGACGATATGAGAGAGAGAGAGAGGAGTGAGAGTTGAGATGACGGCTGATAGAAGAGAATGGAATAGAAAAATTCGCTGTGCCGAGCCCACTTAGTGGAATAAGGTGTAGAAAAAGAAGTATTTTATTGCCTTAGAAGGAAGATAAATATGCGGCACAACTGATGATGAGTTGCTATCAATGACCATAAATACCCGTAATGTCACAGCTGTGAGGCTGAGTGCCGTATAGAACAATTATACACGTCCTCACGGATCCATCAGATCCAATAACCTTTGCATTAGACGCCTTCAGCTCTAATACTAGGAGCAGGCTTAGGGACCCCGGTAACCGTACTCGTCGAACTCGACAAAGAGGTCGACGTGCAACCTAACCCATGCATCAGCCCGCTGAGTTTCTCGCCGGATCTTCTCAGCGGGTCGCGATTCCGATCCGGCGGTAGATTCTGTGAAGCACTGCTCTTGCTAGGACCAGTGTTGGCAACGTCCTCAGGTTAGAGCCCCGTGAGCTCAATTACTCGTCAGGTTACGCTGGCATAACCCTCTAAGATGACCAGATTAAGTAGGATAACAAGGAGATACCGCAGACAAGTTATAATTATTTTTCTAAGGAAATACGTACTTAGTCCGTATTCACACGAACGGCTTCCGCGACAAAGCTATAACTTCGTGTGAAAACAATTGAAATGGTAACATTTTTAAATTTTGTTAAACACTGGTGGTATACACCCTATTAGAACAAGCCTGCACGTATGGGTATGATTGTTTTGCCTATTTCTGCCGCAGAGCAGACACGCGTCCCGGTCGGAACGTTGAGACAGCCTCTATACAACACATTTGAGACTTCGGCATCATGTTTCAAGGTGAGTTCCGATATTCATATATCTGCAGGCTTCTGTAAACACATAACCATAGGTGAGCTCATCCAATAATTTAGGCAGTAAAAAAGGTGATAAGTATTTCCGCCTTTATTCCTTCTGCTCATCTACGTAAACAAAATAACATTACAGTACAGTAGCGACAACGTAGGCTTGCACAAAACAACCAAGATAAATTTTGTACGAAATTAAATAAACGCGCTAACTTAACTCGAGTTGTTGCTGAATATTCTATTAAAAGCAACATCAGCCTGGGGCTAAATTAATTTTAAATGATAAAAGGGACAAAAATTGAATTTAATTGGCATAGTGGTCGTACATGCTGTGAGCTCACACTGGGAGATATGGCGATCCTGTGTATTTATGCCGCAGTCACGTGCTCCGATATGCGACAGCCGTCATATCATACAGTTGAAACATCAAGCAATACGACGGGCTAGAAATCTGGTGGATGGGAGTGCGTATCATGAGGCCTCGCACTCTAAAGCTGCTTTCAGACTACGCTATACTATAGTGCCATATAGTATAGAGCCACTGAGAAGATCCGGCGAGAAATTCAGTGGGCTTGGGGTATCTCAACACGCTCTTAAAGAGTATGTACGCCGGGCGTCTTTAGCCCACAATGACTGAAGTAACTATAGAATCAATTCATACAATTCACACAAAATTCAATGCACACAATAAATTCACAGTTTTTTTTTTGCTATATGATTGGACGAGCTCACAGCCCACCTGGTGTTAAGTGGTTACTGGAGCCCATAGACATTTACGACGTAAATGTGCCACCCACCTTGAGATATAATACTCTAAGGTCTCCAGTATAGTTACAGATTGAGATTGAGCCTTTGCTCGCCCACCTGTTTTAGTGAAACTGGAAAGGCCTCCGGTACACCAGTAATCCTACCATCATAAAAAAAAACTTTATACGCATTAACAGAGAGTCGATCTATCGACGGTTCGCCCTCCGAGTGCTAAAACAAATTTACAGAGCAGTATGTTAATTAAAACGAATAATAATATCATAACTGGATTTACCAAAACCGCAGCTTACCGATTTCGTATGTACGTATGTGTAACACAATCCTAATATTAAAATATATTATAATCCATTATATTTTTAAACAAACGTTTTATCTTATAATTTTTCATAGTTGCTTTTTTCCTTAAAAAAGGGTTTGTGTTTCATTTGGAAGTGCTAACGGAATACATATTGTTACGCGCTGGGGTCCGGGATAAATAAAAATTTTACCGAAGTACCTACAACTTGAAACGGTATTAGCACTTAGAGCACTTAAAATACTTAAGGAATACTTTAAAATTCTCAGTTCACTTCTTTCGCTTCGCTTCAAGTGATCCGTTCGCTGTTTCGCTTCGAGTAGATCCGATTACTGACTGACTGAGTGTTTTTTTTTCCTAGTTAAGTCTTGAGAGACCATTTAATTTTGAGCGTAACCTTAACTAGTAGGTGAGCTCAAGGGGCTCAAAGCTGACGTCATTGCTAACACTAACCCTAGCTAGAGCAGTGCTTCGCAAAATCTACCACCGGATCGGAAACGCCACACACTGAGAAAATCCGACGAGAAATTCAGTGGGCTGTGTCTGTGGGTTAATTTACTCGCCGAGCCCTTCGTCGCAAGCGACGGGTTTGAAGAGAGCGATGACCAGTGACTGAGTGCCATCCCTGCAACGCTTTTATAGTCGATATGACATCCCTTGAATTATCGAGAACATCCTCACAGGTCGAGTATTTTCAATATGCGTTTCCGCCACTTGACTATAGATGGCGTTGTACTTCTCGGGAATTTTCGAGTTCACTAGTACTTTTGATAATCATTTCTGCTATCTGACGATAGATGGCATTGTTTCACCGGTGTAATAATATAAATACAATAAAAATAATACGAGCCTGTCTTGAGACATGAGGTCGAATTCTGCCTCAGTCGTATTACGTACATACGTATAACAAGCATACGCTTTACCCAAGGGTAAGAAATCACCGCCACTATAGACGCGATAATGTCAGGGTCACGGAAGAGAGATTCTCATTATACCCTTCATAATGGAAGGAAGACAGCAAAGACTCTTTTTACTACACCAGTGTAGAAATAAGCTGTGTTAGGACATAACATTGTTTGACTAAGTTTGAAAATTTAAAGGCACGCCATCTATTTACATTAATATTAAGCCTTATAAAAGTGTATTGGCTTAATAATAGATGTCATGATCAACATACAAGATTGTTTCCGAAAGTTCACAATAGATGGCAATGGTGTTTTAAGTTTAATTTAAAAACAACAGAAGCCGCAGAACAAGGCCTTTTAAAAAAAATTGTATGATATTATTCGAAGAATAAACTTAATAACAAAAATAATAATAAAGTTAATAACGATAACATTAGAGATATATTATTATTGCATTGGGACGCTCTGGCGTGGCTTAAGGAACAAGTACGGGTTGAAAGTGAACGGTTTCCAAGCAGTTGAAGAGCTGTGTGTTCAGTGCGAGTTTTTAAACTTCTCGATAGCGTAAAAGTTAACTCAAAGTGGTACGGAATTGGAACAGCGCCCCTAGCGGCAACGAAGGGAAGCTGTTCAAACTCCACATATATTTGAGTTAAGTTTTAAAACTCGCACTAAGCACACTGGTCAGATTTGCTCTTGTAGTGAAAGTTGTAGTAGTTGTGCCTTTGCAGTTGTCTGACAACCTTGGATAAATAGCTCATGAACAAGAAGAATGAAATAATTTTAATTTAAAGAAATAATTGGAAATTCTGGCGAGTATTATTACAAGTACATACTTGCCTTGCTGTATTTATTTTTATTTATTTTCAAAGTGTCACCTGTTGAGAAGTAAGTGTACTAAGTCAAAACAAACAAAATACTGTATTTCCTGACAACTAGATGTCACTTTCATCAACAAAAATATTTTCTTAAACTGTTTTAGATTTTATTATAATATGAGTTGTGATTGTTATAATGAACAGTTGATAATGTTAAATTACTCCTTCTAATTATTAAACGTATAGTTTAAAAAAAGATGTCGTGTCGTGGTATACTAGGTAGGAACAAAGTTCCTTCGACTAATGTAGAGTCGACACAATTTGCAAAAAAAAAATCGTGCTCAATCTTATATAGGTTTTCTTGATTTTTCTCTTAAATTTTGCTGATTAGTTTTTATTTAAGTACAGGATTATTTAAGTACAGGTATTTAGGAAATTCAGTATTTCAGGAAATAATAAATTACGTAAAATAAAAAAAAACGTAGTTCAAATTATCAATTAAAATTACAAAATATGTCTCTTTATTTTTGTTCGACAACATAAAATTACATAGAAATAATTACAAAGTAGAGAGAGAAGGGATGAGAGAACGAAAAGAAAGAAGGAGAAAGAGAAAGGTATTATACACTACTCGCTTGTGTATACGACTGTCGTGCCTGCGCACGTCTCATTTAACGGTTTTATTCCACGGACTTTTTCTTACGGTTTTACTATCACATTTATTTCAGTTCGGTCGCGCAGCATAATCCCTATCTCCTCCAAGCCTGCCGTAAGGAACTTCGTTCCAAAATGCAACCTAATTAATGTTAACGTAATTAACGTCTAACGTTTGCCGCTAGGAGCGCTGTTCCAACAGCATACAAAATTGGGCTAACTTTTACGCTATCGAGAACGTTAAAAAACTCGCACTAAGCACA